AGATTGATTCCTTTCAAGTCATGTGAGCTTCAGTCCCTTCTCTGGCAGACAGCTAAACACTGGTGTTGGCCAAGTCAATGAAAAATAACAGATAACGAAATCCACTGTGAAGACTTTCATTTGTGGCTCTGATCCTCAAAAACAGACATGAAAGGATTCCACAAGGTTAGGTTGTATTGAGATATGTAGATGTTAAGCATATAGAATGTTTTCTTGTAAGGCAGTAAGACCAGAGAAAGTCCTGTACAAAAATCCAATACCTTGTCGCTGAGTTGGAAGTAAATCACTGGAACAATCCATCTTTGTGGTGAAAACAAGGATGGGGCAGAGGGAAGCTGCCCAAAACATTTCTGGTCTCCTACACCTTGTGCCATTGTGCCTGGGTTAGCCAAAACTCATCAGGCACCCTCAGGTGTCCTGATAGAAGCCAGCAGTGCTCCAGCAGGGCATCACAAGCTTGTCCCTCAGTTTCCTGGTTTCAGGCTCATCTTGTGGCCCTTCACAACCCTGCAAGGACCTTTTAGAGGAGCAAGATCTCTGTACAGAAAGGCACGGCCAGAGCAGGGAGATGCCCAGTGCTGCAGATCAGCCAAGACCAAAGCAGCACTCAGAAGTCAATCTCAGAACCCAACTCAACTCTTCTGAAGGAAGAGTGAATCATAACACAAATACTCAGAGTGAGAATGGCTCCAGTAAAACAGGGATGGCAAGGAGTGCCTAGGTGCAATACTGAATGCAGGGAGATCTCTCTGGCAAGCTCAACTTCATTGTCTTTGCTCCCAGTAAGAAACACTCCTGTTGACTCAGCAGTCAGCTGAACTTCATACTTGCTCCTCCTCTGTTGCAATCCAGAAATCACTTCAGGGCATGGAGAGCAGGGCTTATCTTCAGGGTATGCAAATTGCCAGCCAGAAATTACTGTTACCTGTACTGGATTGTGGATTTTGGAGTTCAAAGGGAAGGGGAAGCAGGGGGATCCAGTTTGAAAGTGTTTTCTCATCAGGAGCAACAGCAGGATTGCACATCATTGCACAAAAAGCTTATTCATAAATATCAGATGACCAGAAAGAAACAAACAGTTACCATTCAAAAATGTTGACTTCTGTCAGCTGCCTGAATGGCTGTGGTTAAAAAAACCATACATAGCAAAAGAGTTTCCTCTTTGAATAACAACACAAGCTGAAAATGCAGCTCTTACAGCAGTTTTTCATTTACCTTCCAATGTGCATTTGCATGCCAGAAAAAGAACAGTAATTAATAGTCACTTTTAAATAAAAATTTACCTTTCCTGAAACAGACTCTCCATCGTAGAAGAGAAAATGCTTTTCTACTTTGCCATCTTCTGTTTTGATTTCTGCAGGTTTCCGTGTTTCAGCATCATTGAGTACAACATCAATCTCACACACAGGAACGAAGAGGTTTCCAAGAAAACTCTGCAATAACAAGAACTGGATAAATTACTACACAGCGAACACTCCATTTTAAATGTGGTGTTTACTTGTACACTATATGCTGGGGACAAACCATTTGTGTTCCCACCAAGTGACAAAGCCATTATGTATCAGAGCCCCAAGGAGCAGTGGTGACACAGGACAGCTGTTCATCCAGCAAATAACTGGAGCCAGGTCAGTAACAAGCAGTGACAGCTCTCACTAAATATCATATTTATAAAAAGTACTCAGCGTAATTACCATTGCTACCATTAAAAAACTCAAACACTCAAAGTAGAATGGAAAGAAAGAGTAATATAAAAGTAATAGGGGATAAAATGCAAAGCCCAAAGCATCCCCTGGCTGGGGAAGGGGAACTGGGACTCCTTTGCTGCCTTGCCCACACAGCACAGCTGTCTGTGCAGACAGCAGCAGCAGCTCTCCAGGCAGCTCTCAGCTGTGACAGAGGGATGTCACAGGTGTGTGACACTGACACTGCTCCAGGCACAGAGCTGTCCCCTCCTCTCCTCACATTCTCTGTGCTCCAACTTTTGACCGGCAGCAAACACAGAGCCCATCCTTTGATCCTACACAAACACCCCTTCCAAGGAGCTGCAAAACACGCAGCTCTTCGTGCTCCATGGGAAACTCAACAAGATTAGCACAAAAGCCAACATTTTAACATTTTCCTCCAAAGGTCTGGGCACTAATCTGCTTTGATGTACTAAAGCAGATGACACTTCACTAATTCAGTGTGATTTTTCTGGGTTTTTTTGAGAAATTACACTGTGTTCTCCATGAGAACATCTGCTTCAAGCAGATGAATTTGGTATACATGAAACAGTCTGTCCTGCCTTTGGCTGGAGCTAACTTCTTCTAGATAGAAGTTCTCCTAGAGTTCATTTCTTCTCAGTAGCTGATACAGTGATGTTTTTTGGACTCAGTCTGGAATAACACTGATAACACACTGAGGTTTTAGCTGTTGCTAAGCCAGGCTCATTCTAGGTCAAGGACTTTTTTGTGCTTCATGCCCTGCCAGTGGGGAGGCACAGCAAAGAGCTGGGAGGGAGCATGGCCAGGGCAGGTGAGCCAAGCCAAAAGGATATTCCCCACCTCAGAATGTCCTGTCCCCCCTAAACTGGGGGAGTCACCCAGAGGGGGCTGGCAGGGCTCTGGCATCAGCCTGCAGGTGGTGAGCAACTATATTGTGCATCACTCATTCATGTTCCCTATTACTGTTATGTTATTATTTACCATTATTATATTTTACTTTGCTTCAATTATTAAACTCTTATCTTAACCTGCAAGATGTACTTTTGCTTCCCCTCCCCATCCCACCGGGCTGCTGTGGTGGTGTTTTCCTGCCAGCTGGGGTTAAACGACACAATCACTGCCACTTCATCAATTTAACACTGGAATAAAGGAGTGAGAACTCCTTCCAAAACATCCTGGGGACCTGAAGTTTGAAATGCAGAGCCTAGGGGAGGATTTGATCAGAATGCTGCTGCCCAGCAGTAGGAACACTGAGGGACTTCATGCTCACTCCTCCTAAAGGAAGGACCCAGAGCAAGCTGGAGCTATAGAACAGTGGATCACACCAGACTAAACTGACTTTGTGTGCTCAGCAATCAGCCCCACACCAACCCACAAAGGTGTGTGTGACTCCAGCTGAACCCTGCTACATCCACTACACGTTCTGAGGTGAAAGCAGCAGCAGATGACCAACAGGGCCAGCAGACAGAAGAGCAAAATGTATTCCAAGTCTCTGCCAAGCACAGATTTCTACAGACTGCTGAAAAATTCTTTTTGCTGTTTTGTTCTGCTAACAGTGCACGCCAGAACCATTACTGATTCTTGGCTTCAGAATTCCAAACTGTAGACTATTTGAATTAGGACAATATGAGACAATAGAAACAAAGAGTTATGGACACAAGATACTTTTGAGCATGGCCACATTTTTCCTTGAAACTGTACTTGTTTTCCAGATTAGTCTTATACTCCCCTCTAACTAAAGAAGGAAGCACTTTACCCTTAAGCAAACTAACACGATGCTCTCACAGTACCTTCTGAATTACAAGCAGACCATTTAAATGGTCAGCCAGACCAAACATTGGTAACACGTCACTCCTCAGGAGACTGCACGTAAATATTTCAACTGCACTCCTCCGAGATTAGCTATGATCTCCTTCAGAGAGAATAAGAACATATGAAATAAAGAAGTCGGCAGCAGGCATCTCCTCCAGCTGCTATCGAAGATACTGCTGTGGGGAAACTATGCAAAACAAGAAGTATTTTAGATAGCTATCACAGGGCTTATTATGTTACAGTTTAAGAGAATGCAGACAGAGAACTGGGGTTTCCAGAAACTGGCCAAACGCCAGGCTCCGCTCTGGGTTTTGTGCACAAGACAGACTCTGGAGATTCTGCCACATCAGGACCTAAAGCAAGCCGCGTTCGAGAGCCGCACGGAAGGACTTGTGGGAATGCCGGGGGCTCACAGAGGGTACAGAAACCCTGGCCTCGCACGGAGCCCCGAGCAGCTCCTGCAATGTTCAGGAACCCGAACACCCCGGAACACAAAGCCATCGATCCAGAGGCTCTTTAAGCACGTATTTTTTAACTCTCCATGGGAGCACCCCGAACACTCGGCCCAGCTGCGGGCA